AGAGAGAGAGAGAGAGAGAGAGAGAGAGAGAGAAAGAAAAAGAGAGGGAGAGAGAGGAACGAGTCTGGGCATTTACTAAGCTCCAGCTCCAGAGAGGATTCTAGAAGTCTCTTAGCTCATCTCTCCCCTGAGCAGCATGCCTCTTAAATCTGCCTGGGCAACCATGCTGCAGGCCCAACAAGGATCATTTGAAGAGCTCAGTTTCCATTTTGTTCCTTTTTTTATCCAGTAAACTTTATTTATATATAACAACAGTACAAATTCCGTCCTTGGCTTGCAAAATAGGAGTGTTTCATATTTACAATAGGTACACAGTAATATATTAGAATAACCAAAAAAATAACCCCAATTTATTGGAACAGCTTTAAATACTTAATTTTCTTACAGTTTTGATTCCACAACACCTGTAAAAACAACAAAAAACAGACAACCATCATTGTGTTTTCTTTAAAAATATATATAATACAGACTCCAGTGTGTCGAGAGGAGAGGGTCTGGGCTGTGGGGAGAGGCAGGTCTGCCGTCCCTCCTTCCCGTCCATCCTTGGGGACGTCCCTACAGTGGGGACTCTCCTTGAGACCCTCCATCTTTAGTGCCAAGATAGATGGAGGCAAGTAGAGGAAATCGGGACTTTGACGGAAACCGGGGAGAGGCTACCGGTCTTCTCTGCGGGGACAGACAGACAGAGGGGAAGGGTTTAGTCTCAGTGTCAAGCTTCTTTCTGGGGAAGGAAATGAGACATGGTGGCTGGGGAGGCCAAGGCCAGTTTGTTTCCTGTCTAACAGGCAGGGTTCTTAAGAGTCTCTCAGGACATTCCCTCGCCCTGTCTTGAAAACGCCAAGAGTGGGCTTACGCTGCCCTCCTGGGAGCACGGAGCCACCCTTTGGAGAAATGGGTAGAAGAGAAAGGAAGGGGAGGGGGACTTTGGAGTCAGGTAGATGCCACCCTTTCCTCAAAGCACCCAAAGGCCCTGGACATCACCTCCCAAGTCCCCCAGGGGATCTGGTGCTCAGCTCCGTCTGTGAGGCCACCAGGTGTTTCCTTGGGCACACAGGTCCCGAGTGTCTCTGTTCTGTTGTCCTTGTGGCCCGGCCTGGGAGGCCTGAGCACTACACAGTGTGACTGTGGGGGTTGGGATGGGGTAGGGGGGTGCTTCCCCCTCAGAGCAGCTGTCAGCTTGGCATTTCCCTGCAGCAGGTGAGTCTCGACAGGTTTGGCACTGGAATGCTCCGGGAAGCTTAGCCACCAGAGGCTGGCAATCCCCCCAAGGCCTTCTACCTAAGCCCCTCTCTGTCTCGAACAGCCACCCATTGCTTCCACGTCACGTTTGGCTGGGCCGGAGGCCTCCGCTGCTCCATCTCCATCTCATTTGGTGGAAGCGCAGAGAGGCCAGGTGGGTGAGCAGCTGGAGCAGCTGCCGGGAGAGATGGGAGCCAATGGGTTGAGAGTGGCTCTCATGAGGGACTGGAGTGGGAGCCCAGGAGGAGGGGAGGCAACGGTGGGGTGAGGGCTACGCCGGGGGGTTGGCAGCAGGAACCAGCAGCCTGAAAGACAGCAACTTTGCAGGAGCCACGTGACCGTGGCTGCTTCCAGCACCTAAAACAGTGCCGAGCAGGAGTTGATGCTCAAGGTTCCCGCAAAAACGATGCAGCATGCAGTGGCCCCGCTCAGACGGACTCCAGGGGCAGGGGACCTCTTGGCAATAGACAGGGCGAAATGGCGCCTCGTGGGGCCCTGCAGAGAGGTAGGTCGGCCATCCGAGGCACCGAACCGCAGGCAGAGGGCAGGAGGCGGCAGAAGGGACCAGCTCTCCATCTCGTCCATCAGCCAGGTCTGTCACCTTAGCATCACCTTTGTTGTGCCAAGTAAGGACCTGGGGTGGGGGTGCGGTGGTCCTTTCCCAGAGAACCGTCCTTATGCTGAACAGGGGAGTGGTGTGAAGCAAAGCGGACTTCCCCCTCTGCCAAGGTGGGGGGCTTCCTGGGGTGAGGGGGTTTTGGTGTTTCATCCCAACACAGGTCCACATACCCTCCTCAGATCAGAGCGAGGACCGAGGCCAGCCAGTCCCAGTCTCTCGGTTCCCTAGTCCCTGGGGTGTGGGTTCGTAGTGATGCCAAGCCAGAGCTGGTGGGGGCTGGGTCGGTGGGAAGCTGGGGAGGGGTGAGGTGCTACCACCTTCCTCATTCTTGTCCAACTGAACCCGGCTGAGTTTTCCTTTTCCTCAAGTCCCGTTTCCTGGGTGAGCCCAAGTTTCCCAGCTCCCCTGCTGAGTTCGGAGAAATGTGTTGAAGGCCCTCCGCTCTCCAATGAGCCATCCTCCCAGCGTCCTCCACTCTCTCCAGAAAGCTTCCAGGGAGTGCTCCCAGGGGAGGGGGCCGGTCACCAAGAGGGGCTGCAGGAAGGGCCCCAGGGTGCTGGATGTTCAGAGGGAAGGGGGTGGGGGTGGGTTCTGATGCTGTGAAGACATCTGACTTCCTTTCACGACTTGATGGTACAAAGCCTAAACCGTGAGGTGCCCGTCTGAGCTGGGGTGTCGTCAGCAAACGCAGCTCAGAAGCCAAATGAGGGAGGCGGGGGCTTTCGTCTTGTGTGCGCGGAGCCCAAAGCTTTGTGCTGCAGCTCCCTTCACTGTGTCTCCCTCCATCTCGCCCACGTCAGGGGCTCCAAGGCGCTGAACTTTGGGTGCTATCAAGAGCGAACACTTTGGCTTAGTGAGGAAGGCCAGTCACTTGTACTTCTTTCAGGTATTAGTAGAGCCCCCAGAAGCTTCCGCAGAAGTGGATCATCCAAAGAAAGTGGCCCTGGTGTGGCTGTTGTATATTAGAAAGAAAACAGCAAGTTTCCTGAGAGGTTTTTTTTCCCCGCTTCCCATTTCTCAGCTGCATTCAGGCAAGACACCGGAGGCCTGGGAGAGTGGAGGACGTCTGAGGCATGGTGAGCATGTCCGTCCAAAGTCACACACTGGGGGTGGAGGCTAGCCCTCGGGGCTCCCTCTCCTCTCCCCCTGCCCTTTCCTGGGAATCGATGTGGTCAGCAAAGCCTTTGGAAACTGGAATTGCTGGGATAGGTAAGGCTGAGACCCAGAGTTCGTACAGAGGGCATGCCACGGGCCCACAGTCATTCTTGGAGTAGCTGGTGCGGGTCCGTGCCCAGCCCTGCGGCCTGGGATTCCTGGCCCTCTAACGGGTGGAAAGAAGGATGGGGAGGCTTCTCCTTTCTGCCTGCTGCCACCCGCCTCTCCACCTTGTCTGGCTCTGGCCCTCGTCCCCCTTCCAGTGCTGCCAGCTGAGAGGCGGGTGCTGGCTGCTTGGCTCCATGCCAACTCGGGAAGTCTGGGCACTCCAATGGCTGTCCCGGTCGGGTGGTCAAGGTAATGCTGCCAACAAAGTCGCCTCTCCCTGATGACCCCAGCTGGCTTCTATGGGCGGGGCCTCTGGAGAGAGGCCTGGAGCTTTGGTTTATGTTGGTTGTCTGTGGTTTTGGGTGTCAACAGGTGAGAGAAATCAGGAGAGGAGGCCAGAGAAGAGCCACCCCATTTGTCCTTGGCCGTCCAGCCTACGAGTCCACGAGGAGAGGCAGAAGACAGCTAGGTGAGGATGCGAAGCCATTTCTACTGGTCTCCTGTGAGGCCAGGGCTGCGTGCTCGGTCAGTTAGGAGCAGCCACGTGTAAGCAAACAGGGGTCTCCCCTCTCCAGGCATGGGAGAATAAACGAGAAAGCCTAATAAATACTGCAATGTCTATAACCTATTCTCTTCAAGTATTGCTTGCTGTAAACAGTGTTTGATTTGTTGTTTCCTTTCTAATCGCAAGAAACCACCAGACGGTTGGAGAGGAATCTCCCACCAAGCACCACGTCTCCAAATCGGCTCCCAGATGGAACCTTTGTGGAAACCTGGTCCACGCACCCCCAGGCCCTCTCCTCACAGTGGCCGGCTGTGGGCAGAGCCGTGCCGTGCTCCCCGAGAGGCCTGGTGTCCAGTCTGGGGGAGGTCCACCCCTCCCTCACTTCTGAGAGGAATGCCAGGGGAACCAAGAGGCAAAGTACCAGAGGTCAGCTCCCCATCTGTTGAGGCTGGAGATTCAATAAAGCAAACCAAAACAGTAGCCAAAGCAAACAAACCAATAAATGAGCGAACTAAAGACCAAGCCCTAGTCCTCGCTGGGTACACACCTCCTCTGGAGAGAAGAGGCTGGGCGGGCAGACCGTGGGAGGGAAAGCCCCTGGTCAAGTGCTGATGGCTTTGCAGTGGGCACAAAGGCATGCAGTTCCCAGGCTCCTTGGCTACTGGGATCAATCCAGGTTTCACTGGCTTCTCTTTCTGTAGGAACTTGTGCTCATTCATCTTTCTGTTTTTCGTTTCAGGAGAAAGCAAGCCATCCTTGCCCGCCCCGCCTCTGCCCTTCCCATTTCTCTGGGCATCTCTCCGTAGGCGCTTGCTGGCTTTTGGAAAAAGGAGTTTGTATGAGGCAGGGGAGATGAAGGAAAAGAAAGGCAGGGGGGCAGAAATCAGAATTAAAACAAAAGTTGGAACGGGATGAACAGGGCGGCTTTTTGTTTTGTTTTATTTCTGTTTTTCTTTTTCTTTTTTTTCCCCCTTTTCTTAAAAAAAAATTAAATAAAGTTTTCATTATTTCCCCAATATACAACAACCGGTTCTCATGCACAGCAGCAGTCACAGAAGTAGAGCGTCCCTGCCCGCGCCTCTCAGCTCGGAGAACCACCTTCTCGGCCCCCATCTCTCGCCCGCACTGCGGATGAACGAGGTCCCCTTGTGAACCGGCTATGGTGAAACGTGGCTGGCGTGGGGAGGGGGCCATCCCCTCTCCCCAGGGTGGGTCTCAGGGGACAGAGAGCTCCAGGGCCCGAGCCCCTTCACTCGCCCTTCCTGCTGAGGATCCTGGCGTGATGGCCGTGACAGGTCCCTCTTCCCAGGGACAGAGGCCGCTCCTCTCAGCTCTCGATGGACATGGCGCCGATGAGCTGCTCCACCTTGTAGGCCAGCCGCTGCCGCCGGGCCTGCTCGTCCTGCTCCAGGGCCCCGATGAGCTGAGGGCCAAGCACACAGGAGGAGGGCACTGTCAGGGCGCAGGACAGGCACCTCATTCCCGAGAGGGAACTCTTCTACCGACACCCCCCATTCTGCCCTCATGAGCACCACCTCAAGGCTTTAGCTGACCAACGGGTGACGTCCATGGTGGCCATGCGGGTTGGTTGCTAACTGTAAGGTCGGTGAGTCAAACCCACTAGCTGCTTCTTGGGGGAAGGATGAGCTGTCTGCTTCCATAAAGGTTTAGTCTTGGAATGTCTACATAGGGTCACTGAGTCAGAATCAATTTGAAGGCAGTGGACGTTCGGCTTTGGAACCGATGGCGGGCGTGCTGCGTGCGTGCGTGTTGCCCGTAAGTGGTTTTGACTCATGGGGCCCCGCACGTGCAGAACAGAACTGCTCCTTAGTGTTTCAAGGCTGGTGTCTACAGGGCTGCCATGAGTCAGAATTGATTGGTTGGCAGTTGAGCTTGGTGAGTTAATCTTTTGGAAATCGACCTCCTGGCCTGTCTTCCTCGTTGCCTTGGGGGGAGTGGGAGGGGGAATTGAACTGCCAACCTGTCTGCTAGTAATCTAGCACTTAACCATTTGCTCCTATGCCACCCAGGGACTGTGTGTGTGTGTGTGTGTGTGTGTGTGTGTGTGTTGAAAAAATACTAAACTAGCTGCCAATGAGAATGCCGACTCACAGCGCCCCGGGGTGCAGCAGAGAATGCCGACTCACAGCACCCCAGGGTGCAGCATCACACTGCTCCTTAGGGCCTTCATGCCTGTGACTTTTCAGAAGGTGATTACTAGAACTTTCTTCCAAGGTGCTTCCTGGTAAGGGTGGACCACCAACCCTTCCGTTAGCTGTCAGAGGCATGTGTCTGTTTATGTGTGTGTGTATGCATGTAAATGAGTACGTAAATACCAAACCAAATGCACTGCAGCTGAGTTAAATCAGGCTCACAAGGAATCCATTTAGGGTTTCCCAAACAGTCAATATCTATGGGAACAGATCGCCTCATCTTTCTCCCAGGGAGCAGCGGGTAGGCTTGAACTGCTCACCGTATGATACCGTAAAAGTTCAACACTTACCTGGCAGTGCCTCCAGGGATTCTATATCTCTCTACCTATCATTACATGTACATAAATCTATAGCTACATATAGTTATATGTATAGAAATATCTATCTATCTGTCTGTCTGTCTGTCTGTCTGTCTGTCTGTCTGTCTGTCTACCTACCTACCTACCTACCTACCTACCTACCTACCAACCTACCAACCTACCAACCTACCTGTCTAGCTATGGGACCGACTGCTCTGTGGACACTGACTGTCTTGGAACCCTGCAGGAGCAGTTCTACTGTGCCCTACCGGGTCACTATGAGGGGACTTGACTCAGTGGGGTTGGTCTGGGTTTTTTTCACAACGTGTTAGGAGCCACAGCGCCGGGCACAGCACCGAGGAAGCCCGGGGTAAGTGCTAGCTAAGCCTCCTCCTGCTACTTCTTTCAGGTGCTACTCCATGCTGTGCGCCCCTGGGACCAGTCCTCATCCACCCCCATTCACCTCTCCATCTGAAACCTCCCGCAGGACCTGCCCAAGGGCAGAGGACAGTTTGATTCCGTGTCCAAGATTATGGACGTCAACATGTCCCACTTTGAACGGAAAGAACAAGGGCATGGCCGGCTATGTGTCCTGCTTCTGCACACTATGGGCGAAAGACAAGGAGACCTCTAAACAGCGTTCAGGGAGGATGGGGTGTCTTAGTAAGAGGAATGAAAATACCTTTGGAGTTCACTGGTTTCTGACTCCGTGAAAGCGTTTTCTCCATTACCCTCCACCCTCGTTAGGAAGCACCTGGTCAACCTTTCTGGGTGTCGGCTCAGGTGCTGGGCCTTACCTCTTGGCTGTACTTGCTGACGTAGGAGTAGATCTCATTGAGGGCACTCAGCATGTTGAACTCCACAGCGTGCAGGCGAGACTGCTCGGCGAGGTAGGCGTTCATGTCCTGGTCACTGATGGCGGGGAGCTTGGCGATGTCTGCGTAGTATCTGCCGTGAACAGGGCCGACTCAGCAAACATTTGCTGACACCTCTACCGGCCAAGAGCCCCTTGAGATGATCAGATGGCTCTAACTGCTCCCGCCTCCTCTTTTCCCTTCCCATGTGGCTTCCCTGAACCCCACCTCAAGCTGAGGTTGATACCTAGCACTTGGGGGCACCCTAAGGCCAGAGTTTCTCTAGAAACTTAGCTAAGCCCACTTGGCAGCAGGGCCCAGCAGAGTGAAGAGCCAAAAACCTGGGCTCAAGTCTGACTCCTGGTATCCATATCCCAGCTCTGACCCCTGCTAGCTGTAGGAGCTCTGGGGTCCCTCTGTGCCTCAGTCTCCTCTTCAGTAAAATGGGGATTGGGAGGATACTTCAGTCATGGGAGGATACACACAACCTTCTTCTCATGGGCTGCTCAGCATGAGCTCAGTCCATGAGAGTTCACTACCCGGGTCCCCAGAGCAGGAAGGGGGTGGGGGTCCTAAAGCGTGCAGTTCTGGGTCAGCAAAGCCCACCAGGTAGGGATGGGAGCAGGTGTCTGCAGGGACACAGACCTCTCGACCCAGCTCTTGTAGCTGGGGATGTCCTTGGCGTAGAGCAGCTTGTTGGAGGGCGAGTCCTTGCCCAGCCGGTGCTCAGATGTGGAGCACGAGTCCATGAAGGTCTGCGCCACCACGGAGAGGCAGGCGTCCGTGATGCTGCCCTTGTGAATGTCGAACACGAACTGGGGGTTCTTGATCACGTTCACCCAGAACCGGAGCGGGAGGCTGTGGGAAAGCAGAGCAGACCTTGAGGGGGGTTGCTCAGTCACCCCGGATGCTGTCCATGGACATTCTTCCCCTCACCCCCAGTGCTCAATCCAGGCTGCCTAGATCAGGAGGCCAAGGAATGGGATCAGAGGAAGTGGGGCCCAGCCAGGGGTTGCTGCTAATTTAACGCCCCCTGCTCCTGGCCTGGGAGAAAAGCAGGCACTGTTGTAATCTAATGGGGCCCTGGCCCTGTTCTTTATCCACTTGGGGGGGGGGGCAGTGGGTTCTGTGCCCTCCTGGCACTCTTTCCCAAAGACTGTTGTGCCCTCAGGGGAGCCCAAGCACAGAGGGCAGCATGATTTTCTCAGGGGCAGACAAAGCCCCGGGCCCCTGGGCCTCCTCCCAGTGCCCGCCTGTGGCTGTTCTCCGGAAGGCTGCCTTGGAGTGGGGCACAAAGGGCCCCACCTGCGCTCCCCGCCCAGCCTTGCTGCCCCAGCCCCTTCCCAGGGCTGGCTTGCCCGGCTAGGGCGTGGAATTGGCTCCCCTGGGGGAAGGCCTTTCAGGACTCTCCCCAGGGCATGTTTGTGGCAGGGGCAGGGACATGGGCAGAAGAGGAGACCATTGTGAGTGTCCTGAGAAGAACTCGCAGGAGCCAGAGCTGTTCGCACCCCAAGAAGGACTGACCCCTAGTTAGGAGCCTTCCTTCTGCAAGCCGAAAGTTTCTCATCATAGGAGAATGGATTTTCTCCGCTCCTTGGGCCATAAGAAGGGCGAGCCCATTTACTGGCTGTCGAGGCCAGACAGCTGCTGTTGGCACTTCCTCTTCCAGCCTGGCTTCTTCTCCAGCTGCCTTTCTGGCCTTAACTCTTTGGCTCCTCTGTGGACTGAGCACCCCTGCTTCACCCACGCCCGCCAGCTTTTTCTGCCTCTGTGGACTGCTGAGCCCCCAGACCCCAGCCGGCCTCTCCCTTCCTGCTCTACCTACTCTGTGTTCTGTTCTCATGGACCCAAAACGTCCCTAAAGGCCTCAGTAGTCCCCTGCCCCAGGTAAGATCATGTCTATCGACCCCAAGCTCTTCCATCACGATTCCTCCTGCCCTCTGTCCCCAAGTGGGATCACCTGGGAGGCACAGCTTTGGTGAAGCAGCTGCCCCAACTCCTTTGCTATTTGAAGTCTGGTTAACGGGGGCTCTCCCCCAGGCCACAACTCCAGAGGAGTGCTTCTTTGTGACTGGGGTCTGGGAGGATCCAGAACTTCCTCTCGATTTCCCTGAAATCACCCAAAGTAGTGCCATGCTTAAGCACTGGGTTGCCAGACCACAAGGTTGGTGCTTTAAGCCCACCAGTTACTCTGAGGGAGAAGGATGAGGCTTTCCACCTCTGTAGAGATTTACAAGGAGTCCTGGTAGCTCAGTGGTTATGAGTTGGGCTGCAATCTGCAAGGCTAGCCGTTCGAAACCACCAGTGTAAAGAAGTTGCCTCTCCAAGAAGCTACAGGTTCAGACTCTGACAGGGACAATTCTACCCTGCCCTGCGGGGTCGCTCACTCTACGTCAGACCAGACAGAGAGCTTGCCTGACCCACCCCAGCGGCTCCTCGCTGTGTGCCCACCCCGGCCCCCCATGCAGGGGAGAGATCGGGGCTTCAGAGGCAGGTGGGCTCTGCAGCTGCACTCTGCCCGTGGAAGAACGGCATCGGTGGGGCTGGGCTTGGTTTTTCCCACCGTGTTTGGCTGGTTGCTAGGACTGTGGATTCCCAAATAACAGCCTGGGCCCATCTGTGTCAGCTCTGTTTTCTGAGGAGACTGCTGACTCTGCACAGCTGTGTGGGCTGCCTGCCCAGCCCCAGGCCTGGACCTCCTCTCCGCCCCCTGAGCCCACTCCTGCAGAACGGGTTTGGCGAAGGCTGGCTCTGTGGGACCCAAAAGCTAGTCCTGAGCTCGGTCTTTAGCCCAGGCTCAAGGCCCTGTCAGGAGGGGGCAGTGTCTTGCCGGGGGCCAGAGGGATCCCCAGGTTGGACCTGGCCATGGAGGGGACTTTCGGGAAGCCATGATCCTGTGAGACCTTCCTCCTGCTGCTTCCTGAGTGGTGCCAGGAGTAATAATGGGGCCTTAAGGGATGGGCAGTGCAATGCCCAGTCTGTGAGCTGAAGTCTGGGCAGGCGCCGATTCTGTGCCCAGCCTCTCCCACAGAGCCGGCCAGCTCCACCTGGGCTCTAAGTGCCACAGCGTCATAGCTTCCGCCTTGCTCCTCTTGTTCCAGCACTGCCAAGCTTTGGAGACCTCTGCCTAGGTCTCTAATTGGGCCGCTCCGTGCAGGTTTGCACACATTCCCATTCCCAAGCACAGAGGTCCCAGAGGCAGAGGGGGCAGTGAGTGCTTGCTGGTACAGGGGCAGCAACCAGAAAGGGCAGAGCTAGTTCCAAGGCTGGTCCTGGTGCCCAGCCTCGGGCCTGGTGGACCCATCAGCACAGCCAGGGATGCAACTATGCCGCAGAGCACCTGTGTGCTGGCCGTTTCTCCTCAGCCTCGTGTGTATCCAGCCTGGGCCAGGCACGGTTGCCTCCCTGTCTCCGGGGCCCCCGCTGGCTGTCCCTCCCACAGGGAGTTCCCCCAGCAGCTGCTTACCAGTTGCTTTTCCAGGTGTGCCGCACATCTGTGTCGTGGATGTTGTGCCTGTCTGCCTGTTCGTCCAAGAAGTCGAACATGTACTTGATGGCCAGTGGGAGGGCGCTGCCCCGGTGCACGGTGCTGAACAGGGTCTCAAACAAGTCGTCCACAAACTTCTGCAGCGTGCCCTGGGGGAGGGGGGTGGCGGGGGCATGAGTAGGGAGTGAAAGTGGGGGGCAAACTGCATTGCCAGATGGTGCCTAGGGCCTGATTGTTGCCTTGGAAAGCTGTCTGCAGCAGGAGGCTGGGCAGACTGCTGAAGGGGGAGGGGAGCGGTGGCGGGGGAGTGGGGTGTGTGTCCTTTGGGGTGTCCGGTGGGAGGAGGTGAATGAGTAGATTTCCTAGGCAGCATCTCTGTTCCCACCAGCAGCCCCAGGCTTGGAGGGCTGGCGTGGGCTAAAGGCGGCTGATGGGCAGACAGTGAGGGCGAGTCCAGAGGCCAGAGAAGAGGCTGGGGCCCTGCAGTGAGGGCGTCTGAAGTGGGGGCTGGGAGCACATTGGGAGGAGCATGGCCTGTCAGTGTGGGGTTTCATGGGAAGGCGTGAAGATGGTAAGATCTACAACGCTGTGTGTATGTGTGAGGGTGGTGGGGATAGAGTTCAGCTTCAAGACCACGCAGGCATGGCCCTGACCATAGAGCCCTCGAGGGCCTCTGGGGAAGAGATTAAAGTGGGCCTGAAGGCCCAGTTTGCAGGCTGCCGGCACCCCTCTGAGGCTGCCTGGTGCTTCCTAGTAAAGTGATGAAGTAAGTGCATCAGGCAGTGAGACTCGCTGACTGAGGGAGACCAGCGCCACACTGGGAGCCGCTCTGCCGGCTGCAGGATGGACGCCACGCCGGTGCACAGTGATCACAGCACAGTGAGCACTGTTGTGAAGTCCGTGGGTGCAAGTGCTTGAAATCTTGCCTGGCCTGGAGCCTCTGGGCCACATGACTGGCAGCATCTTCCAGGCAACAGCCTGCCTCCTCGCTGGAAGCTCAGAGCCAGCGCTGCAGCCCTGCTGCAATATGGCTGTGGCCCCCTCATTCCCTCAGCCTTTGGGGGCCTGACAGTAGGTGGGAGGGGGGACATTCAGAGCTTCCCTGGGGGCTGGCAGTACTTGTTCTCTGCAGACCTTCCCACTGTGTGTGTGTGTGTGTGTGTGTGTGTAGAAGCAGTGATGGGGGAGACTGGCAGACCCACCCTGTTTATCATGTAGGAAAACCCTACTGTGTCTCCTTAAGGCAGCAGCTCTCAACCTGTGGGTTGAGACCCTTTGGGTGGTGGTGGGGGGGATGACCCTTTCACAGGGGTTGCCCAATTCATAACAGTAGCAAAATTACAGTGATGAAGTAGCAACGAAAATAATTTTATGGTTGGGGAGTTCACCACAACACGAGGAACTGTACGAAAGAGTTGCTGCATGAGGAAGGTTGAGAACCACTGCCTTAAGGTATGTGTGTGTGTGTAGAAGCAGTGATGGAGGAGGCTGGCAGAGCCACCCAGTTAATCACATAGGAAAACCCCACTGTGTCTCCTTAAGGTGTGTGTGGGAGGGGGCCCTGAAGAGCAATGATGGCCATGGGCAGAAGAAGGAACGCCTGGACAGCTGCCGTGTCTGTCAAAATCAAGAGCCCCGGTGGCCGGAGCCCTGGGCACCGTGCTCAGGGGCCTGGACCTGAGCTCCTGGTAATGCGTCCCCTGGAGGAACAGACATTGTGATGTCCCCACTGTGGTGGGGCAGCTGCTCCCCTCTGAGGAGCCTTCCCTGACCTGGGTGGAACGGGCCTTACCTTGGTGGCCAGCAGCCGGGTCAGGTAGATTTCGGACACCATCTTGCTGCCCCGGTCTCCCTCCTTCTGGTCCCCGTGGTCATGGTTCTTCACCAAGTGCCACACCTTGACCCCGCTCTCCAGGTCTGGGGTGATCATGGGGGCCCGGGACCGCAGGCTGTCAGGACTGCCTGTGTACCTGAAGGAGGAGTCTGGGGAGACATGGCAAGTCTGTGAGCAGCTATCCAACACCCTGGCCCGCCGATGCCCTCCTTCGGCATAAAGCAGTGTGGTAAAGTCGGGCTGGAAAGGGGCCCCTGGGGACCTCACATCTGGGGGATGATTTTAGGTTTCCTTGCAATGGCATAAGGTCCAGTCACTGCCGTCTTTGTAAGAAGAGTACTTTGAAGGTCTGTGTGTGGGAAAGTCTCTTGGGGGGTGAGAGGTGGGTGCCCTCTTCTACTAGGCTGCCAGGAGGCAAGGATTGATGGGTAAAGTGTCAACTGGATTGTTGTCACAGCGGCTGTCAGAACATCGGGATCCTAAGGAGCCTTAAAAGGCACGACCCCTCCAGGGAGCTTAAGGGTACCTTTCTTCTTAGGGTGGAGAGTATGGGGTTCCCTAAGCCCCCTTGGCTTAGCCCCTGTGGGTGACTTTGCATGGGCAGTCACACCTCAGTGTGTACCCAAGACCAGAAGAAGATGGACCAACAGGGAGGGCATACCAGACCCTCGCTGCTCAGAGGCACTGGGCTGGAGCACCCTGTGGGGGTAGAGGGGCACAGGTGGCCACAGATACTTCACCATGCAAACTGGGGCATGTTTGAGAGCAGCAGGGGGACCACTCACATCCAGTGGGCATTGTGGGTAAGGGACTGGGCTGCTAACCACAGTCGTTGTTGGCTCAAAGCCACGAGCAGTCCCACAGGAGAGATGAAGCTGTCTGCTCCCATGAAGTTATATGTCTATAGGGATACTATGAGTCCGCCTTGACTGGTTTGGTTGTAGCTTTTATTAATGAGTGTAAACTAAGGCTCGCCCAGGCAAATGAAGGAGAATGATCCTCTGCCCTCCCCCCACCCCTTCCCAGTGCCTCCTGGGTTCTGGGTCACTCAGCTTCCTTCAACAGGCCTGGGCTATGAAAGAAGGGCACAGGCTCCGAGAAGACAGGCTGTGCTGGGCAATCGAGGGAAGGTGGGCCCACGGGAGGGGGCTGTAAGGAGGCCAGGCAGTGGCCAGGGCTGCTGGCTCTCAGAGGGGGTGAAGAGTGGTGCCGGTCAGCCACAGAAGATGGCCTCCCGGTCTCACCTCACCGTATCTGCTGATGGACGTCCTGGAGATGCTGGCCGAGGCAGGGATGTTGTAGGACGAAGTCTGTTTGGGGACCAGAGCTACCACCGACCTTTCTGACACCTGCAAAGGGCAACAAAAGTACAGTGCAGGTGAATGCAGGGTGCTGGCAACCTGGAGAGGCACAGACTCTTCTAGAAGGTGAGGAGATAAGTGTGTGGGGTGGGGGTAGGGGGCAGAGCCAAGAATCCAGGATCACTAGAAATCACAATGGCTGCTGGTTTGGGGGCTTGTCTTAGACTAGAGCTGAGCTGCCAGATGATAGCCCCATGTGGAGATTGAGCCCAGTCTCAATTAGAAGCCCTATTGGGCAAGTGCAGGACTGTTCACTACAAGGTCAGTGGTTCAAACCCACCTGCCGCTCCTCAGGAGACAGTTGAGGCTCTCTGCTCCCATCAAGGTGGACAGCCTCAGAAATCCTATGGACAAATTCGAGTCGGTCCTGTAAGGTCACTATGAGGAAGACTGGACTTGTGGGCAGTGGGTTTGTGGTTTG